TAAACATTTTATCAGGTCAACAAAACATGGGCATAGTAACAATATTTTTTATACTACATTTGTCCATTTGTACATTTTAACTTCACTCCTTTGTAACAACTAAGGCAAAAATGTAATTAATTCAGAAAATCTTTTCAGGACCCCACCTTGATGTTTCGGGACCCCACTTTGGGTCCCGACCCCAACTTTGGGAAACACTGCTTTAGACAACATTATAACGCTTCATCAAAGTAATTTTCAAAAAAAAAATTTAAATACAAAAAAAGATTTTGACAGTTTTATCTCTATCAAGACCGTTCCACAAACTAACACCCTTAACTGAGACACATCTTCCCTTTAAAACAGCTCTGAATCTGTTTTTCAAAAGTCTCAACACCTTTTAAATTATATACTTTCTCTTTTGATAAATCTGCTTTGGATGTTGTTAGGTAACAGGTTTTTATGGGCTTTGTACATGAATTTTAAAATATTGTACTCAATGAAATCATTAACCTTCATCTCCATTCATCTCTATAAACGTTTGAGTTTGATTACAAAGGTATGACCTTTTTGTGCTTGTTTGAAAATAAATTTGGGCTTTATTTCAGTTTTTTTAAAGACATTTCACCACATGATGTAGTGAATAGTCTAAAAAATAAATCACGAAATACGTCAGACTGTTTGCCACTGAAAGTCAAGCTGAATTTATTCCTGCTTACAGGGATTATACGATACCACCATGCTATAAACAGTATATCCTGAATTAGACCTAAATGGGTTAGGGACCGTGTCTCCCAGTGTGTGGCATCTTGCTAGCATTTAGTATAAGTACAGAAAAAAATAAATAAATAAACTCACAGTTGAGCATTTTATGAAAAAATTAGGTGAAAAAAATGGAGATGTGATTTTTAATGCTACAGTTTKTGCTTTTTTATCATGTCCCTGGGCTACTGTTCACTTGGATGCATTATTTAAAAAAATATCCCTTTTTATGAGGACAAAACAGGCGTGTGAAAAATTTTCCCTTCACCTCCCCTCAGTGCTGTGGACGGCCCAGGGACACTTTCTGGTGGAGAACTCGGAGGCCTCCACCATCAACAGGAACACTGGGATGTTCTGGGCTCTCCTACAGTGCAGGTACACTCTGACACAGGAGGTGTATTCAGGCTTGATTCTTCTTTTAAACATGCAGATTCTATATATTCATGTTTTTAACAGATCTTAGTTTATAATTGATGAGAAAAATGTTAAATGTAGCGGGCAATATGCATTTCTAGGCCTTTGCTTTATGCAACTCATCCTCTTGATGAAGGAAGTGATTGAGCTTTAATTAAAGGTCGTAATTTTTATGCTCTGAAATTGGAGAAATTTAAAACACAACTCTAAAAGACACATGACTAATTGCACGAGGAAGGGTTTAACTTTGAAAGTCTGACTCACTTCTGCTCTAATGAGGAGGACTTCACTCCTTGATTTGCTTGTTTGTCTTATTTTGGTTTTCAGGCACTCTGCGTTCTTCACAGTGGAGGTAGAAAATGTGTGAAGATGGGATCAAAATTTAGACTGGAGCTCTAACAAGTTTAGAATATTCAAACAAGTCAAGCCTAAAAAAAATGTGTGAAGATGGGATACAAAATGAGGGCTTTTGTAAATAGACAACTTTTATTTATAGACACTTTGTAACAGGGCAATTCGATTGGCGGCCAGCGGGCCACATCCGGCCCAAGAGTGACCAAAGTTCGGCCCGCCAATTGATTCATTCATCTCTTAAGCTCAAACRCATGGTTTTCTGCTTTAATTTCTGTAAGTTGTTGTAGTTAAACATAGACATGTTTGGTATCTCCAGAAACATCTGAATCTTGACTAGAAGCTGGTAAAAAACATTTCTATGCACACTCGAGACAGTTAAAACTACAAGCAGATGAAGATAAAACTATGAAAGTGAAAATAAAATTGATTTAAAAATTTGGCAAGTCAGAGATGTCAAAATAATATTTGTGGCAAATAGGAGGCAGAATGTGTTCTTTTTGTTTTTGATATTGTTTTATTATCACTACTTTTATTACATAGGGTTCTGTATGTTGTATTCATGATTAAATACAGCAAAATAAACTATTTCAAAGGTAACAGATTTGTGTAATACTTGGTTTATTTACAAAATAACTTTAATTGCTGGATGTTCGGCCCCTGAGCTGTTGGCCTGCAGTAACTGTGGCCCCCGGAGAAATTWAGTTGAAAAGCCTTGTTGTACAATTTGTTACGAACATCATCAGTTTCACACTTTGGCTGTGTCCAAATTCAGGGCCTGCATCCTTCGAAGGCTGATTACATCACAGCGATGCGCCAAAGGCTGTCCAAATTTAAAAATGCCTTTTTTACCCCGATTTGAGGGACCGGTCCAGTGGATCCTTCTCAGCCCACCCTATCCCAAGATGTGAAGCGAGAGTCAAGAGTACAGTTTTAAATAAAAATCTGGCGATACAAAAATTGAAAGTTTAAAGCAGTTGTGTTGTTATATTTTTGTCATTTGCACAGACGTGTTTATTTATTTTTTATTCTTGTTAGAAATTGTGAATGAGCTTGTATGACAGGTCCCTTAGTTCAGTGACTCCTAACCAGGGGTACGTGTACCCCTTGGGGTACGCGAACGTATTACAGGGGGTACATGGAAAAATTTCRCAGGTGTGTAAAAAATAAATAAATAAAAATAGGACTGAGACATGTAGTGCCCTATAACGGAGCCCGCGAGGGGACATGGGGGGGATTTTTTTTCTTTTGCGTTCCCACGCAACACCTTTGCGTTCCTTCGCACTACTTTTGCGTTACCTCGCAATATCTTTGCATTACCTCGCAATACTTTTGTGTTCCCACGCAAAAGATTGTTTTGTATATGAACTGAATTAACTCAGACTTTTATTCTGAAATATCCGGTTACCAAAACAGGACGTGTCGCCACAAGTTCGTGAAACTGACACTGATGTTGTGTGGCTGCACTGTGTTAAAATATCAACATATGACATACTTCCATGTGTGGCTGTGTGATATATTCATTCTGAAGCTGAATTAAAGCAGCAGGCTAACTCGCTAATGGTGAACATGTGAGTTTGCACAACAGTGATAAACTACTTTTGCGTGGGAAAGCAAAAGGAAAAAAAATCTCCCATGTCCCCTCGCGGGCTCCGTACGCAATGATTTCCACAATGCGGAAAACGCAAACTGAATCAAAATTGACACAAAATAAAATCCTGTGTAAAACACGTAATCTCACGGAATTTGCTCATTTTGAGTATTTGGTGTATTTTGGATGCTTCTTCCTGCACCTGCCATTACCTGATTAATTTATTTAATTATTTTAATTACCCACTTTCAAGGCAATGTATTTATCTTTGTTTAATTTGAGTTGAAAAGAATAAAATGCCTGAGGAATAAACATTCTAGGGGGTTAAATAAATAATTTTCATTTAATAATCAGCTGTTGTACATTATAGTTTTGGAGAATCATTATTACGTTTGACTGAGGGGGTACTAGTGATATGACAAAATGGCTCAGAGGGTACACAAGTCCAACAAAGTTGGGAACCACTGCCTTAGTTCCTCATGTATTGCCTCTAAGCTAATTTAGTTAATTTATAATATAAATATTTTGCTAATTTTAATCTATTTGGACACAGCCAAAGTTACATCATTCCATCCTGAATGTATGATGTTAAATGAAAGATTTCTCTTTACAGCATGCTGTTTGGCAATCTCTACATTTACCTGGACTGGAATGGACAAACAGAAATATCAGGTAAAATAAGACAAAGAATCATCGTCACTTCTTAGACTGTAAAATCAGGATGATGCAAGTACAACATAACCACTTATGAATAAACAAGCAACTGGTAATTCTGATCATGTCCTAGCTTAAATGGTTTTAAAATATCRGCTGTATTTTAATTAAGCGGTTTGTTTTAATGTCCTGCTCTCAGACGGCAGCAGGAGAAACATCTTTCTGTTCCTGCTGGTCGCCTCAGTCCTCGGCACGCTCAGCTTCCTGGTGCTGAGGAGGATCCATTGTGAAGAAGAGATGCTCTCTGAAGAGGAAGGGCAGTCGCTGCTCTCAACCCGCTCCATGTAAATGACCGTCCTTTAGATAATTACACCTTCTTTTCACTGTGTTCGCGCAAAATCCAATTATATATTGCGGCCGTCGCTCAGAAGTGACTCAAAGTGAGAACATGTACATTTTAGCAAACACGGCCTAAAAAAGGCTGTGAATTTATCTTTCATTCTTGTTGACAAAACCTCTCYGAAAATTTGTTTTCTCCAAAAAGGATATTACTCGGTGTGGCCTTGGTTTTAAGAAAMACAATGCTACAGTTGTCCACAAGTTTTAAACCGTTTTTGTCCTTCACAAAATGACACGGACCATTTTTCCTCGAGATTATTGCACTTTTGTCGAGTCAAGCCTGATCATAGCACTTGACAGGAGTAGGCTGCAATCAGGCAGACGTGAAGCAGCTCGGATGGAGGAGAGACTCTTTGAGAAGTGCCATGGACGACCCTCAGACATCTTTTAATTTTAATGGATCTGGACAAAGTTTATGGGGAATCCTGGGATCAAACACGCAGTTTGAATCAAAGGCAACTGAAAGTCATTGAGGAAATATATATAATCAAAATGTTTTGGAGGGAAAATCTTAAAGTCAAAGATGAAGAGACATCAGTAAAATGCTGTTGGCATTTAAAATAATCTTTGTTTGTCTGCTGGCCGACGATGACCCTGAACAACGACTCCAACAGAAAAACAAAGAAGCGGCGATGCCTTAAAAAGTCACGACTGTTGATTTCTGCTGATGGGTTTTAGGCTGTTTGGGGTTAATGTTGTTTATTCTGTTGTTTAGGTATAAAAGCAGAGCCAGTGCTGCCTTGCAGGACACCAAGTCAGAATTCAGTAAGTTTTTTTACATATATAATTTTTGCTTTTAAAATGCTACAAAAAAGGGGGAAAAAAGAATAAAACAAAACACACACAGATCCTGGAGTTTATATAAATAAATTGCATTTGTCTATGAATGCATAATAAAATCTGTTAGGTATAAATGTTCATTTATCCCTGTTAGTGTCGAACTCATTCATAATTTGAGATAAGCCCAAATAAACTGTGGTGGTCAATTATTGTACTGTGTTTTATATGGATGATGTGGTGTATTTTTATTTATCTGCAATTGTTCTTGCTGTRTGCAAATCAAATTGCCCCTTGGGGACAATAAAGTTTAACCAAACCGAAGCGTACGGTATGGAAAATATGTTAAAATCCATATTTCGCATTTTATACAACAGTAAAGCTATGTGCTTCTTAGAACAGAAAACAAACAAAAATATTATTTCAAAATGGAATCATAACTGCATACTTCTAGTTAAAACACAAAAGATTCAAGGTGTGACTTAAACATTGAATATAAACTTAGCATAAAAAATAAGGAAATTGGTGTTTGGTAGATAATTTCTTTGTAACTATTCTTCTTGGCGGTAAGTTTATACTGTTGGAAAACCCATTAATTTCCCTTTTAAATGGTGCTACATTTGTAAGGAACATGCATTTGTGGGATGAGCATTAGAGCTGAGGGAAACAATTTCCAAATCTTCTCTGCCAAACATCTTATTGTTTATCTTATTATTACTCACTGTCATCTGGACAAAGCAGGCAGCACTGTGAGGATCATGTTCTTTGATTTCTCCAGTGCTTTTAACACAATTCAGCCTGAGTTGCTTTGTCTGAAACTCCAGAAGACTCTGGTGGAGGCCTCAACAATCGCCTGGATCAAAGACTACCTGGCAAACAGACCACTGTTTGTGAGTCTAACCAGGTGGTCAGCAGCACAGGAGCACCACAGGGAACTGTACTCTCACCATTCCTGTTCACACTGTACACTTC